CACATGAACCTGAACTTTACAGACCAATCTGTCTCTAAGCTGCTGAGCTCATTGGTTGCTGTTTGTTCCTTAGTGAATGTAATGCAGGTTCTGTGTGTGTTGATCCTCACGTGCTTCTGTGTAGTAGTTTGTACTTTGTTAACCAGACATGCTGTTAAAAATACTTTCACCAAAACAACACACAGTCCCAAATAAAGCCAGTTGCTCAGCTCCCTGCTGTCCTGTAATGATTGACATGAAACTCACCATGAGGACAAACGAGTCAGGTGGTCACATGTCGATGACAATGAAGATATTTAGATTAAAGGATTTTTATTCTTTCTTTTTCAGTTTTTCAGTCCTTTTACTGTCAACCACGTTATTTCTTTCAAAAAAATCCTGTTGTCCAAGTAACATAAATCTTTTTTCAAATAAATATTAAAGCTATGAAAAATCATTTTAGATGCTTGGTGAGGTGGTGACATCATTTTTGTTTTATTATGGTGTGAAATGTGACTAAAACATACAGAAGTGTCAAATCTTTCCAGAACTAAACCTGTTGGGTGAAATGTTCAAAGCTCTCGTGTTCCTGATAACTGGTGACAGTCTGACTATTAAATACATATTATTATTAAATGAACTGGGTCACATCACTTAAGGCAACTTGTACGTGTATATATTTAGGTTGATTACATATTTATAGTTTAATATATAACAGAACAATGACGTCATAGTGAGAACGGCTGTGATGTCATCTGTTTCCATGCAGAACAGCAACACAAAGCTTTTGATAAATAAAGTATATCGGTCTGTATGAAAAAAGGTTAACCGCCTTAATCTTCACAGGTCTGTGAGGATGTTTCTTTTCTTTCACTTAAGTTCAACTTTAAAGGTCACAGAATTCCAGCAGTAATGAAATAAAGAATATTGTTTACATATAAAATACAGTAGAAAGGCCCTTTAAAGATGTGTTGTTAAATATATTAATGTATAAATGCATTATAGTATTTTATAGTGTAGGTATAACATTCTATAGATACATACATCAATAAGAAGGACAGAGTGTATTTAAAGTAGCAACAGAACTGAAGAATCTCCTGAAGTTATAAAGTCATCAGTTGCCAGGCAGATTCCAGTGAAACAGGTTTGTAAAGAAGAAAACTGACACACACACACACACGATAAACAAACGCAAACAACATGAATCACTTTTATGTCCCATAAGATTTCTTCTTGTATGTGTTTCAACTCTGCTCCTACTTCTAGTGTTCTTTAATAAATGTCCTGTTGAATGATTTTACACACGTGTTGATGAGGACGGTTTTAAACAATGCGTCTCATGTTTTATTGTTTAATAGAAAGTAAAACCCTCTTCAGATATCTGTGAAGAATCACTGCTTTGCCCCTAAAATGTTCACTCTTCTTGCTCTTTTGTTGGACGTCTGCAGGTCAAAGACTCGTCCATTTATCCTCAGAGACAACAGAGAACACTGAATATTCAGATCATTGTAGATACTACGACCACAACATGTGCTGATAAGACGCAGGATTTACAAATGTTATTTTGTTACGATAAAATGATCTCAGGCGATGTGAGTCTTCCATTTGCAGCAACTCCCAGCATGCTTTAAACCAGTGAAGTGAAGAACACGACGTTTAGAGTCCAAAGGGAAACAACATGCATGTGATTGTGGCTGCAGTCACAGAGGGGAAGCACATGGAATCACAACAACACACAAACATCTGGAGCATTTATTGAACAGCAGGACAAAGGTACAAAAAGGGGAAATGGAGCAACTTCATCTACAAAACAAGAAGTGATTCAGAGCATCACTGTTCAACTCCCACGAAACCAAGAAGGAAAACATCCCAAATTTAAATAATATGATACTTTAAAAGTGATCAAAAGACATTATCAAACAATAAACATACTGATTTATTCAGAAAACCCTCAAATTATTATTTTCTTCAACCTGTTACTGTTACAACCTGATCTACTGCAAAGAAAAATACAAGCAAACTATTTACACAATCAGAAAATAAATGTTGTTTTAATGTCCATATTTTGTGTGTGTGTGCGTGTGTGTGTGTGTGTGTGTGTGTGTGTGTTTACACGCTTGTTACCAACAAGGATTCAACCCAAACAGCAGAAGTATCAAAGAGTAAATATGGTGGATTTGTTTGAGATGAACACATTAGTCTGTGAGCACTTTGATGCTTTCATTGATTTGAACGTCTCCTAAAATAATCATCCTCGTTTTATTTCATTTCAACCTATTTATTAAAACCAAACTACCCAAATAATTAAAAGTGACTATTGATGTTTCCTCACAGTTTCCAGATGTTCACCAACCCCGATTCAGACGTTTAAATGAAAGATGAGCCATAAATTGACAGTTTATGGAGAAGAATGTGGGGCATCGCTTGTTGATCCAGAGCAACATTCACCCAAAAACCTAAAGAGAGAAACAAATACATAAAAGAGAAAACTAAATCATTTACCACAAACTACTTTGACTCCATTTTGATAAACATGTGTTAGTGAGTTCCTAGAAGTTAATGTAAGAGCTTTGAATATCAGACTTTATCTGAGGAGCTGATGTGAAGCTTTCTGTGTCTTTCTCTTAATAATCTCACGTCTCACGGAACCAAACTGCACCTTTGTTGTAGAAAAAGTCAAAGACTTCTTTACATGAGAAGCTCCTTGTGCTCATACTGAGGGCAGCTTTGTGGAACAGCAGCTGTGAATAGTTTATGTCCACGTGGAGCAACTCACTGTGTGCAGGACGCCGACTTCAAGGTTTAGGGTTCAGTTCCTCAGAGACGTCAGAGACGACAGTAGAAGCAGAAGAAGCAGAAGAGAGTTTGACTGAAGAGTATTTGTCTGAAATAAAAAGCAAAGAGAATTTCAGTGTTTAGTGTTCTAACAGCTTCCTCCCAGCAGATACAATCTCAGTTTTTTAACCTATTTCTTCAACTAAAAGCTAAAATGACTTTTTAAAAAAGAGCTAAACAGCCTGAAGAACGTGTAGAAACAACTAACTACGTTTAAGTGTCTCAAGTGCAAAACAATCACAGAATTGTCTAAAAGTAAAATGGCACCAAACAATAAATGCAGAATAAAAGCAAATTTGATTTTATAAGTGTGACTGGTGAAAGTTGCTTCAGTGTCTCATTCTGGATAAAAGCATCAACTCAAAGCCTAAAATCAAATGCTCCTCAACACTGTGTCTCTGATCGTCTCTCTCACCGTTCCTCTTTCTGTAAACCTTGAATCCAACCACAGCAGCGATGATGACGACAAGAACAGCCACAGCGATGATGATGATGATGAAGGTGGAGCCAGCAGGCTTCTCTGTGGAGCACAAAACAATCAAAGAGTCTCAAGCTGAACAGATGAAGCAGGTCAGAAGAGAAGAAGATCCACTTATCCAGCAGACCTGAACACACACACCATGTGACGTCATTTCTTTATGCCGTCTGCACATGAGGACTGAGACACATATTCAACCTCCTTCCTGAACTTTGCTCTGTCTGATTCACTGATGGATACATGTATTAATACACGTGTGTAATCATTCTGTCTACTCATCTTTAAGTGACCAGTAGTTGTGTGAATGCAGATTCTACAACGTCTGAATTGTGGTGACACGTTACAATAGTTCAGCACGGACTCAAATAAAGCTCTTACCTGGAAGGAGTTTACAAAAGGACGAATAAACTTATTTACAGAGAAATGAACCAAATATTGACACATTTATATATTAATCTAGACCAGTAAACAGTGTTCATAACTCTCGCTGTGTTTAATTCTGATCCGAGTCTTAAAATGACTACAAATAAAAACTAGACTAGAAATGTAAGAAAACAAAACTTCCCAAATCTAAAACACACAAAGTGAACAAAGTGGATGTTTGCTTCCCTCCTTCACCGCTCCGGGTCTCAGACCTACCCGTGTTGGTCCTGGTCTTGTCCAGTTTGGTGACGATGTCCTCGTCCACACCAGACAGCTGGAACACACAGTCGTACCTCCTCCAGTCTTCAGCAGGGACGGAGGACAGTTTCAGGTCAACCCTCATCTGGAAGGTCCCGTCGTGGTTGGGGAGGATCTCTCCGAGGTCCACGTCCTCATGGAGCTGCTCTCCATCTTTCCTCCAGAAGAGGGCGGCTCTGTGGGGGTAGAAACCTGTAGCGTGGCAGCTGACTGGAGAGGAGGGAGTCTTCTGGAGGAGAGACACCGAGGGACGCTCTGGAGACAGAAGAGAGGGACAGGTTACATCTTTATTATTATCACTGATATTTAGTGTATTAATATCATTCATCTTTGATGTATTTAAAATGCCTCTTTAACACTCAACTATGTGTATTTAAGTTCACTAAAAGAATGAAATGTCTTTAAAGTTTCATTGATTAAAGAAGGGAGACAAACAGATGAAGAGGGGTGAGACGGATTGGAAGGGGAGGAGGACAGTGTGTGAGAGAGAGTAAAGAGACAGTGAGACGGACAGAAACACAGCAGAGACAAAGAGGATGGAGGGACAGAGTGGGGACAGGTGTGAGGGGGGAAGTGAGGGAGGGAGTGTAGTGAAGGAGAGAAGGAGGTGAGGGGGGAGAAATGTGGGAGACACACTGGGTCTCTGTGTGTCTCTGACATGTTGCTATGAAACAACAGAAGGTTTATGAGCATCGTGTCCATGGAAGGACATCAGGTCATGTGATCCTACCGGTTCTCATCAGAGAGCTCCTCCCGTAGTTCAAGAACTTCTTCAGCCACTCAGGACACTCATGAGTCAGGTAGTTCTTGTTGTATAATATCTCAGCTCTGTTCTGATTCCACTTCTGTTTGGTGATGACAGCCTGCTGTTTTGCAGCGATCCATTGCTCTGTCTGCAGGTCAAATGATATGAAGTCTTCTCCATCATAACCAAACTGATAATAACCCTTGACCTCATTGGTCTCATCATCCCATTCACAGCCGTACATCCTCTGGAAAATGTGGACACCTGAGAGAGAGAGAGAGAGAGAGAGAGAGAGAGAGAGAGAGAGAGAGAGAGAGAGAGAAACATATTTGCTTGATAAAAGACTTCAGTCATCATCTGATTATCAACATTCATGTTGATTCATTTTCTGTTCATCAACTAATTGATTCACTGTTTCAACACTAAATATCCTGAATGTTTGTTCTAAACTCACTGCAGTCCACTTTAGTTCATTAACTCTCATCTGTATCATACTCCAGATTTTGGGCTCAAATTAATTATTCTTGTCTTTGCAGATGATGTAATAACTATTTCTAATGAATCCATGAATTGTTCACACTGTAAAATGTCAGAGAGGCTGATGAAACCTTGGAAGTGCTTCTTCAGTGTGAACAACACTGAGCAGTATTTCATTCATCACCATTTCAAACAGACAAGAGGAAGAAATCGTCTCAGTGAGGAACCTCAACTAGAACATGTTGGACGTCATCTGATAAAACCTGGAATGAAATACTGAAGCATCGACTCCCTGAGCTCAAGTAAAGCTCATCTAATCTAAGCTGGAGTTCTAATCAGGATGAGAGGAAATCTTCTTCATCCTGAACAACACGGAAAAGTATTCATTGTGTTTATATACTTATATTTAGGAACTGGAAGCAGAAAATGTTTCAGTCAAGAAAAGATCTCAGACTGTTTAATTTACTGTGTGTGTGTGTGTGTGTGTGTGTGTGTGTGTGTGTGTGTGTGTGTGTGTGTGTGTGTTTATGTACTAATAACATAAAGGATGCAAATACAAACAAAAAGTGTGAAACATAAACAAACCTCCAGTTTGGTTGAAGCGTTGTTTTAGTGTTTCAATGTTGGCTTTGAAGACCTGCTGGTTGCCCATAAGGATCTCAGTGTACCACTTCCAGTACTGAGGATCGTCCTCTGTGACTCTGCTCATCCAGTCCTGTCTGG